AGTCACAGAAAGTAAAGACATGGGGATATGTGAATCACCAGTTCAAAACAACATATCTATTTGTCATAACATGTCAAGACATGCTGCCACTGGTGACATTCCCCTCCCACTCTTGAATAACATACTTTCATAGACCTGATACTATAGTACACACACACACACACACACACACACAATACATGTATTTAGTGTGATCTACATAAATTCCAATCAATTCCTCATGTAATGCCACACACATACACAGCACATGCTCATTCCTTATTACTATAGAAAGGAATGACAAAATAACAAAATTTAAAAATCCAAAAAACAAGCCAAATATTCGAAGAATTTCGATCATTAATAGCTCATTTGCAAAGCAATGAGGAGTGAGAGTATTGCCCGTGTACACTATGTACAATGTATACTAGACAAATGAGTGAATGAATGATATGCACAACAACTCATTCATTACACATTACATAGACATTAGTATGACAGAATAGTATATGTAGTATTATATGTACACAGTACATCAAAGGCTCTCGTGTTTAGTAGTACATGATAATAGTAACAGTATCCTACATAGCCAAACTTCTATGAAATCAAAGTAAATAATAACAACTAGGAGAGCTATAGCCAAAATCACAGCCAGATGATAAAAAGTTTGGCTGCATGAGGAGAAATTATGATAAAAATTCAAAACATACTACTATGAAGAATTGAACATGAGACAAGCCCACCAGTATCCATAACAACAACCAATTATTAGTTAATTCCCACTGGAAACATACACACCTGCCAATCAGTGGAACCATTAAAAATGATAAAGATATACTATGGGATCAAAGGAGGGCTCATTACTATAGACAAATTAGATTAATAGCAGCTGGAATAATCCACAAGACACTAATATAGGCAGTACTGTAATACTAAAGGATGGAAGATAACATAATTAAATTTAATAATAATAATAGTACATAATAGGCTAGCAATCATGATAGTAAAAGAAATAATAATAGTAGTAATAATAAAAAAATAATTCATTCCATTGTCACAAAATCCGTGACAAGCAAAAACCCATTGGTTCTATTGTCACAAAATCCGTGACAACTAAAAAACCTATTGGTTCCATTGTCACAAAAGCCGTGATAACTAAAAAACTCATTCATTCCATTGTCACAAAATTAGTGACAACTAAAAAACCCATTGGTTCCATTGTCACAAAATCCGTGACAACTAAAAAACCCATTGGTTCCATTGTCACAAAATCCGTGACAACTAAAAAACCCATTGGTTCCATTGTCACAAAACCTGTGACAAGCAAAAACCCATATTAGAAATAACTTCAGAGGAATACTTGATAATAGTAATATAATATGATTGTTATTACCTGGTACTGCTGTGCTTCAATAGCTAGACTAGCTTTAGTTGACAACACATTAAGAAGTCCCGACTGTATCAATGACTCATTCTCTCCACCACTCCTCTTATAGTGAGGCAGGACAGAGAGTAAGGCATGGAATCGAACCGAGAGGACCAACTCAACCAACTCAAAATCAGTGCTCATGTTTGATAGTTTTCCCTTCCAATTACTCAGTAATACACTAGGAGAACTGAAGAAAGAGAGAGAGGAGGAGTAATTACAGCATGAGACATATAAAGAGATACATGTACACATGTAATATACATTTTCTCTCTCTTTCGCTCTCTCTCTCACGTACAGGTCGGGTTCAAGAACAAGTTGAAAAGTTGACTCGAGTTCGTTAAGTGTCTGGAGACGAGTGAGATGAGGATTGATATTACAAACACTCTCCAGACTAGTGGATACCATCTCATTGATAATGGAAGCCCTGAGGAGTGAGAGAAGATAATGTACATGCATACAGAAAAGAACAAAAAGAAAATAATTTTAAATTTGGGTTATTTTTTGGAGCTAATTATTTTTAGAAAAAACGCACGGTCTGTTATCTATAGCCCATGAGAAAATAGATTGGGAGTGTTAGTAGTCTATAGTGTAT